CCCCCCCCCCCCCTATCCCCCCGTCCTAGCCCGCGCGTGAAATGGAACATAAAATGTTTGGTTAACGCTGCTGGAAATGAAAATGTCGATTCAGTAGTTTGCTTGCTTTCCGGCGTCTTGTAGCGACGCCCGCACACGACGTACCTACGTAGGTTTATGCGTCTTTGCTTAAAAAGTCGCCCCCTTTGCCTTCCCCCACCCCCGCTCGTTCCCCTCCTCCCTCGGCCTTTGGACAACAAAACGTCAACACCGCAAACCTACGGGCAATATCACCGACACCAACCACATCAACAACGTCAACACCCTCGCACCAACTGCACACCGACGACGTCCGAACGTCAACACACCACCAACCGAACGTCAACACACCACCAACCGACACCACCCGCCAGTTCGCGCCCGCAGCCCGCCGCGCCCGGTCCTCGCCATCCACCGCCTTCCTTTCCTCGGCCTACGCCTCGTCTTCTTCCTCCCCAGCGGTGGCGGGGGTAGCAAGCGGTGGCGGCGGTGTCGAATCGACCCGCGGCGGCGGCAGCGGCACCAGCGGCGGAGGGGTTTCGACGATTCCGGCCGGAGAAAGGGGGGGAGTGGCGGGGGCGGGGGCGGGGGCGGCGCCTGCAGCGGGAGGGGTGCCTGAGGGCGGCAGCGGGGGGGGGGGGGGTATGGAGTTCANAGGTATGGAGTTCAGCCTTAGCAAGGTTGACCTGGCCTTTCCGAACAACGAGCACCTCTTGCCCATCAGCTCGTTCTCGACGGAGCAGGGGCTTACGGTGCCGTCCTCGAGCAGCCAGGTAAGGGATAGCAGCGGGGGTGGTCGTGGTCCGCTTGGCGCGGACGACCTCCAATTATTCGTGCACAGGAGTTGGCGGCGCCAAGCAGCATGTGTGTGAGGTCGTGCGCCATCAACAGCGATGACCGCTGGGTGACACGCTACCAAATCCAACAGGACACTCGTCGATGACAGTGTATTCGGCCCTCAGTCTCTTCCTTACTCTCGTCGCGGCGAACTTTCTGGCCGTGTGTGTGTGTGTGCTTGTCTGTTGTCAGAGCAAGGCGGCGGGGTTGATGGCACGAGTGACGAGCCAGCGCAAGCCGTCCAAGAAAAAGGAGAAGAAGGAGAGGAACGCCGGGGTCGCCGTTCGATTCGGCTCGCAGGTGGGCGGGCAGACGGAGACTCTACACCCCGACAAGCTTGGGTGGCCTTGGTGTTGCGTACGGATGGTTTCATCGTTCTTCGCAAGCGTGGCAGGCGTGTTTTGCTGGATTTCAAGCGTTTTGTTGTTTCTTTTTGTCTGCACAAGAGGTTTAGTTGCCCCCCCGGCGATGGCGCCCCCCCGGTGTTTGCCATCGGAGTTGGGTTTTCGTCGCTTGGCAACGACGTTGTAAAACAAGCCCCCCATCGGTGTTTGCCATCGGGATTGGATTTTCGTCGCTTGGCAACGACGTTGGAAAACTAGCCAATTCACTTCGTGAACTCGGCAACCAGGTTACCGTTTATTTTGTCCCTCTGTTTTTTTTTTATTATGGTGGTCGAGTGGATCATGTTGTGTGGAAGCCTCACTCCGCGAAAGGGGGATGATCGCACCGCGTTGTGTTGAATAGGTCAAGCACCCTCGAGGCAGTTACACAGTGCTTACAACTGTCTCTGGAAGTGAAAGCACCAGAAAGTTAATTAAGTCATAAGCAGCTGTCATCCGTACGCACAGAAGTAAGCACAAGATGCCGAACGCCCTTAGCAGGATGCAGCGCACCCTTCATGCGACTCGCCGAATATCTCACGGCGCTTCGCGCTTGGTGATGTGAGAGCCTGGTCCGGTGAGAACCCGGCGTGCTCCNAGTTGGAGGAGGAGGGGTGGGTGCACGATCGGTATACGTGAAGTAAAACGGATGTGGTCAGCGCGTCGTTGTCAACATCGCAGCAGCAGCGGCAGCGGCAGCAATCACGCGCAAGCGACAGCTAGACACACACGTAAAAACTAGACTTCATCCATTTTCTTGTTTTCGGGTGTTGAAAAATCATGCACGATTTAATAAAACACGATCTAATAAAAAAATCTCCATGATCTCCACTTCGCCGACCGCGGAACCCGTCAATCGGAAAACGCTTATATTTTATACACCCCTTTTTTGTCAGGAGTCCACGTCGATGCTCGACCCCGCGAACCACACGAACGCGCCCGACGGCTTCAGCGCCTCGGAGATCCGCGCGGCTTTCCTCCGCTTCTTCGTGTCCATCTTCCGGGGATACCTGGCGCACGTGGTGATGCCGACGAGCAGCTCGCCCTACCCGGAGAAGCTGTTCGCCAAGGAGGCGTTCCTGAAGAGCTGCGGGCACCTGCCGGAGTCGAGCCATGCCTTCATGAACGCGTTCTTGGACAGCCAGGTAAGGTTAGGTTATAGGTGCCGCTGCTGCTGCGACGACACCGTTCGGTCACAGCGGTTACTTCGCTGATTGATGATGATGATGACGACGATGATGATGGAACTGCCCGTAGCTAATGGTACACTTTTGCTGCTGTAGTTCCGCGATTAGAACACGGCACGGGACCGAAAAGCAGCAGCGCTGCTGTACTGCTGTGATGGACACAGCTCATAGACACTTCAAGGGTTTTCTCAATGGTGGGTGGGTGGGTGGGTGGGTGCTAAACAGAACCCCTCGCGGCCCATGCCTGTCATTTGCCTCGGAACTCCTTCCTCACCCTGTTCCTTTTGCGCTTGCTCACCACCGGCGGCACGTGTGTCGAGAGCCCTCATTGGGACGAACAACGCCAGGGCGTGTATTGCCCACGACTATCAGCATGTTCCGATTCCGAGGGACTGCGTACCATGGTGTACTATTTAGAACCATACGGCATGACACTCCATGACGGACAATTATTAAAGCATACCGGCGCGCCCCCCCCCCCCCCCCCCCCCCCCCCCCCCCCCCCCCCCCCCCC